TCCCAGTTCCGTTTAAGGAAAAACGTAACTGGAGTCTGACACTCAGTTCCGTATAAGACCAATTACTTTATAGAGGCTATGGTGGTCTTAATTTTCGTGTGAAAGGTTGTGGGTTCGATTCCTGTACATGATTCAGATATAAATACGGGCCTTTGACCTTCCGTTTTGTAAAGTAGATAGGGAATGAATTACAAAAAAAACATATACGTTTACTATACGGACCCCGGTCTGGTTCCCAGTTTCGTTTATGTTAAACGGAACTAGGGTCTGGTTCCTAGTTCCGTTTATCTTAATCGGAACCAGGGTCTGGTTCCTAGTTCCGTTTATGTTAAACGTTTATGTTAAACGGAACTGGGGTCTGGATCCCAGTTCCGTTTAAGGAAAAACGTAACTGGAGTCTGACACTCAGTTCCGTATACGACCAATTACTTTATAGAGGCTATGGTGGTCTTAATTTTCGTGTGAAAGGTTGTGGGTTCGATTCCTGTACTTGATACAGATATAACTACGCGCCTTTGACCTTTCGTTTTTCGAGGTAGACAGGGAAAGCATTACAGAGAACTTAAACGTTTACTATACGGAACTGGGGTCTGGTTCCCAGTTCCGTTTAAGGAAAAACGTACCTGGAGTCTGACACTGATTCCTGTCCTTGATTCAGATATAATTACGCGCCTTGGACCTTCCGTTTTGCAAAGTAGAAAGGGAAAGAATTACAAAAAAAAACATATACGTTTACTATACGGACCCCGGTCATGTTCCTAGTTCCATTGATGTTAAACAGAACTGGGGTCTGGTTCCCAGTTCCGTTTAAGGAAAAACGTAACTGGAGACTGACACTCAGTTCCGTATAAGACCAATTACTTTATAGAGGCTATGGTAGTCATAATTTTCCTGTGAAAGGTTGTGGATTTGAGTTCCCAGTCGATTTTATAAGAGGCTGGTTATGATGTTTTTCTGAAACAGACCTAGTATTTTGGTCGAAGTTCGAATTATAGTGTTATTTCAATTTTAAACGGAACTAGTGTCTGGTTCCCAGTTCCGTTTATGTTAAACGGAACTATGGTTTGGTTCCCAGTTCCGTTTATGTTAAACGGAACTAGGGTCTGGTTCCTAGTTCCGTTTACCTTAAACGGAACTAGGGTCTGGTTCCTAGTTCCGTTTATCTTAAACGGAACTAGGGTCTGGTTCCTTGTTCCGTTTATCATAAACGGAACTAGGAACTAGGAACTTGGAACCAACTACAGGCTCCCTATCTTTTTTGCCACCCTGTCACCGTCAGAGACCTATGATAAACAACCTAAGCATTTTATGATGATACCCCTATATCTAAAATGAGCTTTTGATTAACGTTTTTTTGAAATATAGTCAAACAAAACATTCATATAACATATTATCTCACTAATACTAATTATCAGAAATTACACTAAATTTGTTACGTTTCATTTTTACTTTTAACTCCTGTTTTCGTAATAAATTATACTAAATGGTATACTATATATTAGTTCTCTTGTTATTGAGGAAGAACAATCATTTAAGTTCATATGCAGTGTAGTCAATTCCTCTTGATTCCTAATTTGATATTATACACACACTCTTACGCGAACATTGTTTTACAACTAGCTAAATTATTTTGATTATCTTTCTAACGACATCTGAAACTCGTAATAAAAAAACATCGTTCCGTTACATGTATCTCGGTTTAACTACTGTACGCATTTTTGAACAGATTGCAATGACACGGGGACTTTCGTCAGGAATTGCCTGTATCTCTCCCTGCCACGCTGCTCTCTTTGTTGCTCATTTGCATCACAAAAACTGTTCACCTAAGACTATTTCAACATATTGGTCAGCAGCAGCATATGTCCATAAGCTGATCCAGCAGAGTCATTTCTGGTGAGGAAACTAGTAGCGGGTTGCTATAGATTAAGTCCATCGGTAGATACGAGTATAACGATTGCGGTGGAGGTTTTCAACCGTATGCTTCAAGCTTTGCAACATGTTGTAAAGAGCGGTTTTGAAACTGCCCCTTTTCAATCTATGTTTCTTTTTGCATTTAGTACATTTGCTCGAGTTGGTAAGATAGCAACAACTGACACCACAACAGATCTTGTTCAATTTCAACAAATAACCTTCTCAGCGGTTCAAAGTCAGCCTACTGTGCAAGGAGATGTTTGTAATTTCAAGCATAACTTGCAGATGAAACGACATTCTGTGACCTTCAGTCACGGTCCAGCAAATTTCTCTGTAGTCAAAGCACATGCTTACTGACAAAAGTTGAAAGAAGTGACTCAAATTCACTATTACCTTAAGTTTCGATGGACTGACTTTCATTAGGAGCTGTACACCGACCCGAGTTGTGTCCCTAGCGTCGTAGCCAGTAGTCCCTTAAGGATGATGGATCACAGGTCATCTGATTGGTCAGTTAAATTCAGGGGATGCTGAGACCTCTCTATCAGTCAGTCATCTTATATTTAAGCTCTGTTTCATATCCGATCCAGTAAAGTAATAATATTTTTCTGCAAAATACCCACCCTCTCCCTCCCTTTTCGTTTTGTTAACCCCACATTGGCTTTTTAAGATATGTACTCAAGAGTTACAAGTTTCATGTACATTATATGTTTTTATTTTTATGCCATATTTCTAATTCAGAAAATGTCCTCGAATTTGATAAATAAATACTTATTCATCCTCTTTGAGGATGGCCTTTTTCATTCACAGTCCGTGTTGTGTCGTTTCTTGTTATAGTGAGTAGAAGCATAAACATAATTATGAAAATACCTAATAGTAATGGAACATTCCGATAGAAGCACAACATTGTCATTATCAAAAACGTGAACTACATATTAAGCTGATAATATTTAGTTTAACTACTATAAGCATTTTTGAACAGATTGCAATGACACGGGGACTTTCATCAGGAATTGCCTGTATCTCTCCCTACCACGCTGCTCTCTTTGTTGCTCATTTGCATCACAAAAACTGTTCACCTAAGACTATTTCAGCATATTGGTCAGCAGCAGCATATGTCCATAAGCTGATCCAACAGAGTCATTTCTGGTGAGGAAACTAGTAGCGGGTTGCTATAGGTTAAGTCCATCGGTAGATATGAGACTAACGATTGCGGTGGAGGTTTTCAACCGTATGCTTCAAGCTTTGCAACATGTTGTAAAGAGCGTCTTTGAAACTGCCCCTTTTCAATCTATGTTTCTTTTTGCATTTAGTACATTTGCTCGAGCTGGTGAGATAGCAGCAACTGACACCACAGCAAATCTTGTTCAATTTCAACACATAACCTTCTCAGCGGTCCAAAAGCAGCCTACTGTGCAAGGAGATTTGTGTAATTTCAAGCATAACTTGCAGATAAAACGTCATTCTGTGACCTTCAGTCATGGTCCAGATGGGTCAACCTGTGGCGTATGCAAGTCGTGCACTGACAGATATGGAAACGCGTTACGCACAAATCGAAAAAGAACTACTAGTAGTCGTTTTCGGCATGGAAAAAGTCCATCAGTTTACATATGGGAGACCGGTAACTGTACAGAGTGACCACAAGTCATTAGAGATGATCCTGAAGAAATCTCTACAAAATGCACCAAAACGCTTACAGCGATTTCTACTAAGGCTGCAGAAGTACAACTTTGTACTCACGTATAAGAAAGGTGAAACTATGTATCTTGCTGACACTCTGAGCAGGGCATATCTTGATGTCGGGGACAAAACAGCTCAGCTGGATGATACAGAGACTGTAAATATGGCACAGTTCTTGCCAATCTCGGAACCACGACTGCACGAGATACAGAAGCAAACTAGCACAGATGAGTCGTTACAAACTCTCAGGGAAGTCATATTGGAAGGTTGGCCGGAGTCCAAGTCAAAGACACCTGCTCTCGCGCAACCATACTTCCATGTTCGCGATGAACTTGCGGTCCAGGATGGAATTATCTTTCGTGGGGAACGCGCTGTGATTCCTAGGACACTAAGAGCAGATATTATGCAGAAAATTCATTCTTCGCATGTTGGAGTCGAAGGTTGCCTGCGGAGGGCACGTGAAACAGTTTATTGGCCAAGGATGAACTTTGAGGTACGCGACTATATAGAACAGTGTGGTGTGTGTCGTTCATTTGACACAAAACAACAGAAAGAGACTTTAATCTCACATGATGTACCAGATAGGCCTTGGGCTAAACTCGGGTCAGATCTGTTCTATTTTGACCAGAAGAACTACCTAATTACAGTTGATTATTTCTCAAATTATTGGGAAATAGACTACCTACAGGACACCACATCGAAGACGGTAATCCGAGCCTTGCGTAGTCAGTTTGCGCGTCATGGAATACCTGATATTCTGTGTAGTGATAATGGTCCTCAGTTTAGCTCTGATGAATTCCGGCGTTTCAGCAAAGAATGGGAATTCGATCATGTTACCTCGTCGCCAGGTTACGCTCAAAGCAATGGAAAATCTGAACAAGCAGTCAAAACTGCGAAGAGGTTAATGAAGTTGGCTAAAACTTCACACAAAGACCCATTTCTGGCACTCCTTGATTTCAGAAACACTCCGTCACAGGGTATGGACAGTAGCCCTGTACAGCGTCTAATGAATAGGCGCACAAAAACGCTGATGCCGACTAAAGCAAGTCTTTTGAAACCAGAAGTTCAGATGTCGTCAAATGCAAAGAAACAGTTGAAGGGTGTTAAGGAACGACAAGCTTTCTACTACAATCAAACTGCGAAAAACCTGAAACCTCTAGGTAATGGAGAAGTTGTAAGAATAGCTCCACATGAGAGTATGTTAAACAACCAGAAAACCTGGAAACGTGGTGTTGTAAAGGAACAAGTTAACAAGAGGTCATATGATGTCACCACTGAGGATGGAAGGACGTATCGGCGAAACCGGCGTCATCTGAGACTGTCAAAGGAAACTTTCACACCGAAAGTTCAGGATTTTGGACCGAATGTGGAAATGGAGAAGGAACCACATGTGGCCCAGGAATCACATGTCGAGACCAGTTTGGTATCACCACCTGAAGCACCACCCAACATGTCTATCAGGACCAGGTCAGGAAGACAGGTGGCTCTTCCTTCGAAATTTAAAGATTTCGATCTGTCCAAGTGACGATTTCATTAATAACAGTGTTAACGTAAAAGTGTTTTATTTTGTTCGCGAAACAAACAGTTTCAAGTTTAAGTTTTAATATTGTGGTAAATGAACGTGTTTGAAAAGACAGACAATTAGTTACAGTACATACATACTTGTATGGTGAAGCTCGGAAGTACATGTATTAAATCTTTTCAGTGTTATTAGTACTTATTACAGTGGAACAGTTCTAATTACCATTAATGACAATATAGTTTTGTGCAGTAGAAACTATAGGACAAATTCTTTATGAACTTTATCGAAAAAAAATATTCTTCTAGAATTTAAAACTCAAATTTTCCTACCTAGAGAATTTGTCGTATGAAAGTCTAGTCATTTCAGTTTTTAAGTTAATTTGTCATTTAATTCCGTCTTAATTTTAAAAGGAGGAAAGATGTAACACATCTCATATCTCGTTCCGCTACAAATGTTTAGTCTGTAAGATTTACCACGATGCGCACGCATCACGTGAGAGAATAAAACAGTCGTCCATGATTGATGTTGTTTGAGTTCCCCGTCCAGCATCCAGCCGGTAGTTTAGATGATTACATCTATAGATATAGTGCGGACATGAAACAACCCTCTTTGAGGGTGGCCTTTTTCATTCACAGTCCGTGTTGTGTCGTTTCTTGTTATAGTGAGTAGATGCATAAACATAATTATGAAAATACCTTATAGTAATGGAACATTCCGATAGAAGCACAACATTATCATTATCAAAAACGTGAACTACATGTTAAGCTGATAATAATCATAACCCACTTCCCCTCCACCCATCATATTCCAGGGGTGCAGAGAGCGAAAGTGAGCGTAACCCCTGGATATCGAGGATGAGGTACTGCCTCCTTATAGCCTTATGAATAAGACCTCATTCCTCTTGAATGTTCATTACCTTATCAATTAGTATGTCGAATCTCAAAGTAAAGCCTGGCCTCTTTTTGAAGTTCATCATCAACATCGTCCGGCCTCGGCAAAGTCTAGGTCAATCCCTTATTCGCGCACTATGCGTCTTCGTGACACTACAACGTATCTAGTTAATATCCCACCCATTCATTTCTTGTTTATCGCCTACTTTGGCCTGACATAAACCATAGAAGTATAGCCACTTCCTTTTAAATCGATCTTTTAAAACATGCCTTTCAAAATACCTGTTTATTAAGTAAGGTGTATAAACTGAAGGATTCATCATGATCATCTATCGTAATTTTGGGGTAGACCCATCCTCGATAACCAGGGGTTACGCTCACTTTCGCTCTCTGCACCCCTGGAATATGTCATAGCAAAATCAAAGGCTTAGTGTGCAGCAATTTAAAGATGAAACGAGAAGACTCTGTTGTTTTATTCTGACGCCGAATGAGTCCAGCGAAATTCCCAGTGACAAAACAAACAGAAATATGAAGAAGTTAGTATTTCATCAGAGTGACAGGGATCATACATATATATATTTGTAGATCAAATTTACAATTCACAAACTTCCGCTGACACGATATTTCCATATTACACAAGAACTGTTCAATGCTTATAGGTGTCTATCTATTTAAGCGTTTTACTGGCCCAACACAACGTAAATAAAATCTACCATTTTTAAGGACTTTGGTATGTCCCGGCCTCCAGACAACCAGGTATTTTTTATATTTACATATTTTTCTTTTTTAAGACATTACTTGTGGATTTTGCGTACCCTGATGGAGGCCTCCCAGCTGGGTTGGCCGGGAGCAAAAACTGTGACCTCACGTCAGCTGTCCAGTTTCAGAAAATAGTGCGGTAACATATCACCAAGTACAACACGAAAAATATGTCAAATAAGTAATCAATGTTTAATTAAACTTAACTAATAAATTATCAAAACATTGCATTTAAAAGCATTAACGAAAACCATTTGCCCTGCCTCAAAATACATTTCTGGCGGCCATTTTGTTTGTTTACATATTCCTACACCTGAACCAGGTAGTTGTAATTATAGTCGAGCAGTTGTATTCACAGTGTTGATTCTGGGCACCTCCGCAGTATTTTCTTTCCTGAAGTCATAATTAGACATCTTAGTATTTATAAGGTTATGAATATATTCAGGAGACATTTTGTTTATAATTGTATAAACCTCACAACCCTTATTCTTTCAGACGCCCTATAAACCTTAAAACCCTTTCTTGTATCTTTTCTCACTTCCTGACACTCAACAAATGATTTTAACTACTGTCCTTAAGTCTGGCATGAGAAATAATAGTGCCAGACTTAAGGACAGTAGTTAAAATCATCTGTTGAAATCCAAACATTATTAACTCTTTATAACACAATATTTTAAACTGTCCATCTAAATAAAACGTTGGTTTTTTTTCATGTATAGACTACCACGCATCCAATTTACATTGTTCTGTATCAGGTTTAGAAAGTCGATAAACATTTCACTATTTAGCTACAAAATTCAGCCGATATCAATTAGACGCTTTAATTAGGATAGACGCTTACCAGCGTCAGATAACAGCATAAATTTCACTTCGTCTTTACTCCGTGTGAATGTAGCGCATACCACAAGACATTAACCAACTGAAATTTGTATAGTTAATATGGTATCATGCTAGCATACGTTAGACATAATAAGTGTACAATTTCGCGATCCAGGCCACATGACTCGGGTTTAAACACTTTATGCAATCCGAACATATTTTATATATGCTGTGACGTTACGCAATGCAGTTGTTTTAGAATCTACAACCATGGAATGACATTGACTTCAACAAATCAGAAGTACGTCACAATTTCTAGTGATTAAATTTGTTAAAAAATTATAAAAAAAAAAATATCTGTATTACCTTACTTTGCATTATGTATTTTTTATAATTTCTTGTTTTACTTTTTATCACTTTTCCATTCCTTTAATTTTTGTATCTGTCGTAGGCCATGTCCAACTTCCCCCGTTGTTGTTGGTATAAACCTGTCTGTGTTTTGACATAACTATCCTCAAACAATACAACCATGTTTCTACTACTGATTCTATCAGTACACATTATTGTCGCTGTTTTATGTGTCGCTGTTTGTTTTTTTGTAAGTTTTAATGATTTGCTGTGAGTGATCCCTTTACGTTGATGGAGCGTTCATCATCTTCTATAACTGGGATAAACAAAAATATGATTTTACAATTGCATTAATTCTAACGATATAACGCGGCGTTTCTGGAATTACCAAAACGTCTCACTTCCAACAAGTGAAATTCAGTCTTAAATTTGAGACTTAATAAATTAGATTCAATTTTCTCACATAATTCCGAAAACGAAGTGTTGTACATGTAACGCGGAAATACTTATAAGGTCATGGAGACGCCATATTTCTGCGTTGTTAAGACTATGGTGACGCACTTACATTATAATTAGGTATATAATTATCTACGTTACAACAATTTACGTTGTTTGTAAGTAACGTCAATACACGTACAAATCGAGGCATCGTGATTTCGTTGAATCCAATAATCAATATAGCTGCAAGAAAAAAAAAACTGTTTTCATCGAAGGTATATATGTGTGAATTTTAATTGTAATGTATATGAATACTAATCCATCAACTGTTATTAGCGAAGTCCAGGGGGAAATAATGAATTTGGATATTTCCTACACATTTAGCATACGTTAGCATAGGTTCATGTCATAATTTCATTGTGACTTCCTAATTAAATCCCGTGACATCCACTGTCAAAAACAGGAAACTTTTGTCAGTCACCAATAATCTAAGCGACAGTGATAATGTACTGAGATTGACATTAGTGCACTTAATTAAGAGGCCACAAAGGAAGAATGTAGATTATCAGTTATACTATCTGCTATATTCACAGAACTCTCGTGGACGCAATGTTTTTTTTATTTAAACATATTTATTGCCCCAAATTTGAGCAGAGGATTAGGCACAAGTTATATCAACTTATCAACGTCTTTTCCTCTAATACAGTACATATTGATATGTACATGATAGCATCTAACAAGGCATAAAAACTATATTTTACAATTATTATATTTTACTTTTAATCTGTTGCTGGATTTGATGAAAAGTTGCACGTGTCTGAATACTTCTGTAATGGTATCTACGGACAGATTTTCATAAAAAATAAAAAAAATAAACCTAAATTTACTGGATGTATATTCAACGAGTCTTTGTTTCGAAATAGCGTTATTCGTGCTGTATTAAAAAGTTTACATTCCAAGAAAAAATGACCAACATCCTCACAGGAATGTCCACAAGCGCATGATGGATTATCAACAATCTTAACACGGAATAAATCATTTTTCAAAGAACTGCACTGATGCCTGAGTTTCGTATGTAATATATTTAAATTGCGTCCGCCAAAATTATAATAAGATGGTGGAGACGAATTTGCACCACCATGGATACAGCAGATTTAAAAGTATTTAAAGATGGCAATGTTCTTACTGTATTGTCTAACGAATTCCAAAGACGTAAACTCGATGGCAAAAAAGAAGAGTTGCTTGAGGAGAGTCTGAAAGAAGGAATATTGTAATCATATTGGTTCCGTAAATTGTACCGATTGTTGTTACCCATTGTGTTTGGCAAAAGGGCCGATAAATAGCTGGGGGTTAAATTGTTTTTCATTTTATATGAAATATTCAATTTTCGCCTTTTTCTCCTCTCTGATAACGTTTCTAACCCCGTTTCAAAATGTAGTGAATCATTATTTGTATAAGAAGGGAGTCCTGTTATAACATGACACAGTGATCAGCGTTAATGTAGCCAATGATCCGTATAGAGTTTCGTTTAACTAACCTACTGTTTGTGTGATGACAGAGAAGATTGGTTGACAAGCCGTGACAATGCATCGTGCATCGTTTAAAGTGTAGCTATAAGGGAGGCAACTTTTCTGTATTTGTTTGCGTTGTCAGAGCAGGATACAGTTTGAGTTGTGTCTCTTTGAATTGTAATAAATATAAACATTTCTCCCACAACCACTAATGGTTTCTCTTTGGAAAAATCGACTA